CTCTTAGTGAAAGGAACATCAAACTAAGGTGTCTCTTAGTGAAAGGAACATCAAACTAAGGTGTATGTTTGTGAAAGAAACATCAAACTAAGGTGTCTCTTAATGAAAGGAACATCAAACTGAGGTGTTAATTAAATGGAGTATGTTATATATATTTATATATATTTACAGGTATTTGAAATCTACATTGGGTAATATACAGATGATCGTCAGTGTGCAAGGCCTCAATGAAGAATCTCTCACTCCAGAACAGCAAGTAAATAATACAAAATTCCATATTGTAATAAGTAATCAAGTTTCAAATATAATATACTGCTTGGAATAAAAACTACAATTTTTTATCTTTTTGATTTTTTTCAGCTTCTAAACTTCTGGTTAGACTTCTTTGTTGAGGCCACAAAACCAGAGATATCTGATGTAAGGTTTCCTGTAAGTACAGTTTGAATTACCTCCCATCTATTACACGCAATTAGACCACATATATTGTATTGAGCTTAATTAGTAGCTGTTTTCTAGTTCTCATTCAGACAATTGAAAACCAAAAATGGGGACTTATTTATAATTTCACTTCAATTCAATATACAATTCAAGCATTTCTGCTATTCTGGAATCAGTTTATGTTCGTGTCTGGATGGATTTAATTCATATTATGGACATTATGGAATCTTGGTGCATGTTATTTTGTTTTTTAGATCAGATTCAAACATTTTGTTTCAATAAATGCTGTTCTGGAACCATATCTCTGACATATGTTTCGACCAGCTATGTATGTGCATACATACACATACATCATATCTGTAGGAATACATGTATATGTGCAATGATATTGTGGTCCAATGCAAGCTGGCTTAATGGCAGCTATATAATTAAAATCAACGATTTCTACCATTCTGGAGCTGACTCTTAGTTGTGTATAGAGAAATTATATTCAAACTTGGTACACACATAATAGGATAGTTTACATTGTTTTTCAAATTTTATTCAAAGTTGCAACTGCGTGTTATTTTGTTTTACATTTTGTTGTTCCAAAGCTGTATATTCTCTGATATGCTTTCAATCATGTTCAGTCTTCTCTTACGCATTATACATATTGTCAAACATATGTAAATGTAATCATTTTAATTCAAGATGGCCGACTGGCATCTATTTTATAGCTGAAAATGTGTCAAAGTCGAGCATTTCCAACATCGCAGAACTAGATCAAATCAAACTTTGCATATACATGATGTCAAGTTCTAATTCAAAATAGCTTATTGGTTTCACTCCTTGTTTACTACATGTATTGTACAATCAAACTGTGTCATACATTTTTTTTGTACCAATGAATTTATTGAATCTACAAAGTTAATAATAGAATACTTTTTTGTGTTTTGTATGGAATTTATTGTCACTAATTTCTGATGAGTGGAATGTGAATTATAGAAAAAAAGGTATATATTTGCTGGATCTTATTTTCACTGAATCCTTCCTTCAGTGAAAATTATTCTAAGCGAAAATAAAGTATTTTACAGTATATTATTTCCTTTCTAAATCAGTGAATTTGAAAACTCAGGGAATATACATGTATGCAACATCACATCCTCTAAACTGAGTTAATATTTAACTTCTACAGATTGTACTATATCTTGCATTATAAAAACGAAGATGTTTATCTTGTATCAAATAAAATACACTATGCCAGCATTGCATATCTTCATGATGATGGTGTATGTGTAAATGTATCTATTTATTACAGGTACTGGTATTAGAACCAACCAAAGAATTCATGCCAAGTTATGTGATGATTAATGCTGATGCAGAGGAGAAGGTAAGCTGAGAAATGTGTTGCACTGTGGGTAAATATGACATTCACTGAATACGGTAATACTTAGTAAATACATGTGGTGATCACATGTTGCATTGTGGGTACAGATGGCATTCACTCAATATGGTAATACTTAGTAAATACATGTGGGGATCACATGTTGCATTGTGGGTACAGATGGCATTCACTCAATATGGTAATACTTAGTAAATACAAGTGGGGATCACATGTTGCATTGTGGGTACAGATGGCATTCACTCAGTATGGTAATACTTAGTAAATACATGTGGGGATCACATGTTGCATTGTGGGTACAGATTTCTGATTACTTCTTCTAGTATTACCATGTCATGTCATTTGTTTCACTGTTATTTTTTGTAGAGTATTCGTTTATGGCATGTGGTTTATGAAGACAGTGAGACAAAGGTAAGGCTTTATTTGATTTCTTTTTACTGAGCTGTGAACAAGATCAAGTATGGTATACCCTGCAAATGAAAGTCTTTGTAAGGCACAATACACTACAGAAGTTATGAGAATTGCACACATGTACAGTGCAATAGATTGGCCAAGTGAAATTCACACTCTGCATAGATTGTGTTGTAATAATGTACATTGATTTGTATTGCTTGTTTTGACACAGAGAATCCATGAATGGTTATTTACTGCAGAATCAATCAAAGGAGTTAGGTAAGTAGATAAATGACTAAGACTTCATGTAGACAGTGTGAGTAAAGTGAGTACATTCACTAAACAGTGAATGATATTTTATAGTGCATATGCTTGTTTGTATGTGAAGTTGGCATATACTTAATTATGTATACCAATTATGTTAGCAGCCATTATATGGTCAATCAAGGTACAAACCACAAGTCAGGTTGTCTAACCAGAGCACTGGTTGTGCTGTGGTATATTGGTGTATCTAATTACTATATCCAGAGACATGATTCCACTGTCCATCATGATGGGTTTGTTGACTCTATACAATATAGATTGTGAGTCCCGTGATCTGATTGGTGGAATGGCCTAGCGCCATGTTATAATTGACTTTAAACATTGGATTTAGAATAAATATTATGTATTATTTTTTCAGTTTATACAAACGAGATGAACGATGTGTATTTTTGTACGTACAACAAAATGCTGATGACTTTCAGATGTTCTTTTCTTCTGAACGCCAAAGGAAATGGTGAGTTTTGTAATCTGTGTATAACATTATTAGTCTCGTTTAGATGAAGTCTGAAAACAGCAATTTGTAGGCTCACATCTGCGTCTATTATTTTGTACATATGCCCTTGTATTTCAGACATGCTTTGACTGATCACATTCACAGTTCACACAAGCATCACACATATACACATTTATTTGTTTCAAGATCCAATTCAAAATGGCAGAAAAGCAGAATTAAAATCAAACAAATTCAAGCATTTCTGCATTTCTGGAATAGGGTCTTGGTCTTGCATCGGCAGATTTTTCTCAAACTTGGTTTATACATGGTCAGATCTTGATGCACGTCATTTTGGTTTTTAAGAATGTTGTTTCTGAGTTGTATCTTGCTCTGATTCTATTCTTACGTTGCACATTATATTTCATGTCACACATGCCTAACTCAATTCTTTTGTACTAAAAATGCATTATGGTCAAGCTAGGAGTTCATCCATTTTGTAAATAGATTTTGTTACAAAGCTGGTACATAACTAACAAATTTTCCAAATCTTTTATATGCTGATATATGTTACCAGCTGTTGTTGGAAAGTGTGCACAATTTCTTTGTATAGCCTGCTATATTTATACTCATATTTTGTCACTTTTTTATCAACGGTATATTTTGTTACTGTAAATTTCATAAAGGCATTAATTTTTTTTTTTTAAATTTATAAAATATTCATAAAACATTTACTCTGAAAGACCACAGATTGTTTATGACATGCTTTCAATCTTTAGTCAGTTTACTGCCATGCATCCATGAAGGCATTGTGATTGGTTAAGTTTTCAACTGTCATTTTAAATATATAAAACTTATATTTCATATAAAAAACAGTCATGCCTTCATGGGATTTACTGTTACTGTAATAATTTACTTTGTAGGTTTTATGAATTGGTTGTGAATTTGACTGATAATCAAGACAGATTGGCTGTAGGTGATCCGGAATCTGATTTGTCTCTAGAACCAATAGCGGTATGTACAAACACTTGTTAGAAACACTCTTACTACTACTATAACAGTATGAACCTATTTTGGTATTATATTGTAATACTAAATTTAAAATAATTTTTTTATTCACAGTATGAATATGAGATAGGAGATAATGGTCAGAGAGTAATATTAGGCAGAGGTACATATGGTATAGTGTATTCTGCTAGAGATTTAACAACACAGGTTGGCATTGCTGTCAAAGAAGTGCCAGAAAGAGATCAAAGGTATAATCATTAAGCAATGTCAGTCACATCGACTAAGAGAAGCCAGATTGAATTCAATTCTAAAGTGACATCACAACATCCAGTAATAAATTCCATGACATCACACCATCTAGTAATAAATTCCATGACATCACAACATCCAGTAATAAATTCCATGACATCACAAAATCCAGTAATAAATTCCATGACATCACAACATCCAGTAATAAATTCCATGACATCACAACATCCAGTAATAAATTCCATGACATCACAACATCCAGTAATAAATTCCATGACATCACAACATCCAATAATAAATTCCATGACATCACAAAATCCAGTAATAAATTCTATGACATCACAACATCCAGTAATAAATTCCATGACATCACAAAATCCAGTAATAAATTCCATGACATCACAACATCCAGTAATAAATTCCATGACATCACACCATCCAGTAATAAATTCCATGACATCACAACATCCAGTAATAAATTCCATGACATCACAAAATCCAGTAATAAATTCCATGACATCACAACATCTAGTAATAAATTCCATGCCATCACAACATCCAGTAATAAATTCCATGACATCACAACATCCAGTAATAAATTCCATGACATCACAACATCCAATAATAAATTCCATGACATCACAAAATCCAGTAATAAATTCCCTGACATCACAACATCCAGTACCTATCGCACTGCTTGATATGGATATTATATCTGTAGGGATACATGCATTATGTGTGTGCTATTATTCTAATCAACAGAGAAGTGCAGCCATTGCATGAAGAGATACGTCTTCATATGCGATTAAATCACAAGAATATTGTCAAATATTTAGGATCTACAAGTGACAGCGGTTATTTTAAGATATTCATGGAACAAGTACCTGGAGGTAAGTTTTCATTTTGATTTTGTCATTTGTTAGTCCATGTTTGGATACCCTCTGAAAACAAGGAATTATGGATTGACCTCTATGCTTGCATTCATGTGTGAATCCTGACCTGTATCTTACTTAGACCTGCCTGGACCGATTACATTCAAACTTCACATATACTTACATAATAATGTACATATACACATCACTGTCTCTTTTTTCACGATCTGATTCAACATGGCCGAATGGCAACCATTTTTATGCTGAAAAATCATTGAAATCAACTGGTTCTGGTGCCATATCTCTGATATTCAAATTTTATATATTCAATATACATCATGTCATAGATATACAGATTTATTGGTTTGATGGTTTGATTCACAGTGGCCAAATGGTGGCCAATTTTTGAGCTGAAAATCATCAAAATCCAGCATTTCTGGCTTTTCAGTGGCCATTTTGTTTTAATAAATGCTGGTCCAGAGCATTGTCTCTCAATATGGACAAGTACTCGTTTGACAATCAGATACAAGATGTCTGAATGTCCATGATGAATGTCTATGTTCAAACTATAAATAATTACTATAAATAAAACTATATATCTTAAATTAAAAACTAATGGGGACTGTGCCATGCATGGCTTGTTTATAGATCTTATAGTAATCTTGGTTGTGGCAATAAACCACAATTTGTGATTAATTTACACTTACCTAAAATTGGTTAACTTAAAGCATTTTCATTTTACATCGTGCACATGTTTCAAGCAGTGAAATAAAAAGTTGTTTGCAGCAGAGCAAATAACAGTATGTGAATATAAGATTATTACGAGAATATCTCAAAGTATGTATGAAGACAGTACAGCTGGAGTATCAACTGACGCGTAGCGGAGGTTGATGCACGGCGTACTGTCTGAGGATACACCATGGGAATGCTGAAACCCAAAATGTTTAGAACAGAATCAGCAAACTTCTTTGTGTGGAGTCCGGTCAAACTCTGGTGGCATGCAGCCATGTTTGTTTTTATTATTAGAGAACACTTATGTGCATAATCATTCCATATTTGAAATTTGCATTTCCTTATATGGTAGTATGAAAATAATCCATAAAATACCACAAAATTACCGCACGCTGTAACGTATGGCATTACGGTGACAGATGTATAATAATTATTATTATTGCTCAAAAAATGTCTTGGAAGATTTATCAAGTAGAGTAGAACCGTGGTTTAACATGCTGATGAACAAAATGTATACATTTATAATGTGACCTTGTTGTGACCTTGTGTGCCAAATGCATTGTAGAAATAAGTACTATAAATGCCATATGTTAAGAAAGAAAAGGTTATTATTATTTTCCAATATAAGAAAAAACAAACAGATGTTACTTTGATGTTCAGACAATAGCTATATTTTATCTTTTATTTTCTGGCAAATAACTGGTTGTAGCTATCCAGTCATTTCACACACACATGCATACAAAACATAAACAAGTATACCCTCTTACAGAGCCTGTCACCTACCAAATATAACTATCTCTATTATTTGTTTATAGGAAGTTTATCAGCATTATTACGATCAAAGTGGGGACCATTAAAAGATCATGAACTCACCATGGCATTTTATACAAAGCAGATTGTAGAAGGACTTAAATATTTGGTGAGTGGAACAGTTTGATTTGACGCAGAGAACTAAATATTTGGTGAGTGTAAGACTTTCCTTTCATTGATGAGAACGTGATATACTCAATGTTCTCATTTTAAATATTTTACAGCATAATCAAAAGATTGTACATCGTGATATAAAAGGTGACAATGTCTTGGTGAACACTTACAGTGGACAGGTGAAAATATCAGATTTCGGCACATCAAAGAGATTATCTGGAATTAATCCTTGTGCTGATTCTTTTAAAGGTGAGAATATCATATTGTGCATAACTCTACTTTTAATCACTGTCCCAATGACTCTACTTCTACTCACTGTCCCAATGACTCTACTTCTACTCACTGTCTCAATGACTCTGCTTCTACTCACTGTCACAATGACTCTACTTTTGATCACTGTCTCAATGACTCTGCTTCTACTCACTGTCTCAATGACTCTGCTTCTACTCACTGTCTCAATGACTCTACTTCTACTCACTGTCTCAATGACTCTGCTTCTACTCACTGTCTCAATGACTCTGCTTCTACTCACTGTCTCAATGACTCTGCTTCTACTCACTGTCTCAATGACTCTGCTTCTACTCACTGTCCCAATGACTCTACTTCTACTCACTGTCTCAATGACTCTGCTTCTACTCACTGTCACAATGACTCTACTTTTGATCACTGTCTCAATGACTCTGCTTCTACTCACTGTCTCAATGACTCTGCTTCTACTCACTGTCTCAATGACTACTTCTACTCACTGTCTCAATGACTCTTCTTTCAATCACTGTCTCAATGACTCTGCTTCTACTCACTGTCACAATGACTCTACTTTTGATCACTGTCTCAATGACTCTGCTTCTACTCACTGTCTCAATGACTCTACTTCTATTCACTGTCTCTTGTTTTGCTTGTCGTTGTGTTAGTTTCATGTGTTCCTTGTCATTTTTTGTATTCTTTATGAAATTTAGAAAAACAGTTGTAACTTCAGTTTGGAAATATTACTGAACGGTCAATGAAAAATATATTGAATTTCAGAAAATAGCAACTGTGTGAGCAATTCTAAGAATTCGGTCAGCAAATAAAAACATATTCTATGCATATTTGTTACAAATTGAAATCTTGGTTGGTACCCAAAATGTATTATTTTTGTCATGTCTTTGTGTTCACAGTTTTACCCAGAAATGTTGTGTGAATATTTTTTGAGAAATTCAAAGAGTCTGAATATATTAAAAATACAAATTCAAAGCAAAAATACTAGTTTTCAGAAAATATGTATGGGGTGTTAAATAGTTTTGACAATACCTGTACTTGCATGGGAAAGAGATCCATGCTCCTGTTTTCAAGTAGATTATTCTATAAAAGCCCTAGTACAAGGAGTATTGGTTATCACAGAGTTTACATATTGCAACTGTAGCTTGAAGATCAATTTTTTAAAATAATATATAGTCCAAATGTCATTTACCGTCATCAAGTTCTCAAGTTCAATAGCTCTATGGACATTGTGTATATCCTAATGCTCCATTGTGTCGTCACAGGAAGCGCTGTCCCAGCACAGACCTCGTTGTGTCGTCACAGGAAGCGCTGTCCCAGCACAGACCTCGTTGTGTCGTCACAGGAAGCGCTGTCCCAGCACAGACCTGTGTCATATGACGCCCTACTAGCCGATTTTGGCTAAAATAACGCTCCGACGCCTCTTTACACTAGTGTTTATACACGGAACTTGATACTTCTTTTTCCAATTTAAGTTGCTTTTTAATCGCGTATTTTAGTGAAATATTGTTTAGTGAGTGAAATATTAATGTCACAAATAATTCAATCTTGTAAATAACAGAAACTAACACATGATAACGATAATCAAATTTGTGTTTGAAGTTCGAAAGTACTTGCATAATTTCTGGTTTCAACGAGTATGAAAATAGAACATCATTGAACGCGATAAAATCACGAGTAGAACTCCTTCCGAACTAAACACTAGCAGCGTAAACTTATTGCAATTTGGGCAATTTGGGCCCAGTTTGTTCTTACAAGTTTCATTCATCATTATTTAGTAAACAGGTCTCTGAAACAATTTAATATATCCGTAAAATACGTGACAATCGATGATTGACTTCAAAACGTTCGACATTTCGAACAAACTCCCGGCACACCTTGCGCGATATGCGTCAGATCGGTGTAGAAGACACCGACCTGCAGCGTCAATGCTAATGCTCATTATGTTAGGTTTGAGGTCAAAATGATCTCTTTGTAGTGCTGTTAATCTTGTTCAGGGTTTTCTAAATACTTCCATTTGATCTAAATAAAAACTTTGTGATATAAAAGTCTGAAATTATATTTTGATACTCAATTCATCAAAACAAAAGAAATTTGATACAGAACATTTAGTGTTATATAATCACTTGCAGTGAAGCATTGTGTTTACCATTATTTCTATATATTTGTGTTTTACTTTGTAGGGACTTTGCAGTACATGGCTCCTGAAGTTATTGATAAAGGTATCCGTGGTTACGGTGCACCAGTAAGTGAGAAAGTGACAATCATATTAACTGTATTCTGATATACTGTGTTGCTGTAATCAACAGTAGAAATTGTAGTTTTGTTTATCTTGTTTATTTTATGTTTGTTTATTTTAATGTTTCACAAAACAGTTTGTTGATACCAACAATAATATTTTTTTCTGATTCTGTTAAACTTATAACACTCTGAATATTTTTTGAAATGTTACATTACTGTTTCAGATGTCAATATTGTCATTTATTAATTTATCATATTAAAGTTTGATTATCAAGATTGGTTTTGTTTTCATCACTAATTGTTTTATAGGCTGATGTTTGGTCATTAGGATGTACGGTAGTAGAAATGGCAACTGGTAAACCACCTTTTATCGAGGTAAGGTACTTGTTCAAAATGGCCAACTGATTTAAATTATGTGTTTACAGTAACTCTACCTACCCTTTCTGGGAAAAAGTTAAACACTTTATTTTATGCAAATTAGTTAAAAATTATTAATTTCTATGCAAATCATCTATGATCAGCTCAGTGATATTTTTTTGATTTCATGTACTTTCTTCTAAGTAGTGAATGACTAACACTTAGTTCTATTAAGGAAATATATTCTGAAAACTAAATTAGACTTCTTACTATGTTATAGTTGGGATCACCTCAAGCTGCAATGTTCAAAGTTGGTTTTTATAAAGATCATCCAGAGATACCTGATTCAATGTCACAAACTGCCAAAGACTTTATTCTCAGGTAAGATAAAGATTTGATCATCAGGGATAAGGAGAAATGATGCATTTCAGTTGGTTTTGTGATTGGTTTCAAAATGGCCCACTGATGGCCATGTGAGGTTTAGTTTTATGTGTCTGCAATCATTATGATATTATGGCCTTTTAGTCCACATTCAGATGAAGTCCAAAATCAGGGACTTATGGATTGACCTCTGAGCATGTGTGTATGTGTGCATCTATCCATCTGTATCCAGCACAGTCTCACACATGCTTAGAACGAAGTTCAAACTTCACACATACAGACTACCGGTACATCACATTGGGCATAATCATATGCACATGCATGTTTTTCCATTAACTGATTCAACATGCCCTAATGGCAGTCATTTTAATTTTTACATATTTATAAATATTTATATTTCAGAAACACAGATATCACCATTCTAGATTTGGATCTCAGTTATGCATGGACAGATTCTGTTCAAACTTGATACATACATTGAGCATAAATAACCTATATTTTTTTATCAGGCTCACAATTGGCCAACTGGCAGCCATTTTGTTTTAACCAGACTTTCTATCCCGAATTTGTCTGCACTTGTTTTTTGCATTCTGGAATTCTGCATTTTCTGGAAATGAACCCTAATTTTAAAGCCAACAGACGAAATTTGAGTAATTTTTCAGTTTTCATTTAAATTTGACTATTTTTGTCCCAATCTTCTGAAGGGAAGTGCTATAAGCAGGACTATTTTGTGAAGTTGTGATGAAAAGAGGGAACTGATAATGAAAAGTTTAACAAACACTTCATATAATTGACTATGTCAATAACAATTACTTTTTGACTCCCGTGTGCCAAGCACAAAAGGGAGTCTTTGCAGCTACCTTTTCTGTATGTCTGTATGTATGTTCTTCACTCCACACGTACCTGCATTGAGCTCCTCAATCTTATTTACACGTTGTTTCAAGCTAAGTTCCTATTATTTTCTGTTGTTTGTGCTTTGTAAACAGTTACTGGTTGTGACTAATGCGTTTTCGGAGAAATTCAGGTGTAAATCCGCCTGTTTTCTCTCAGTTTTTGTTTCAGTGTTGGCGAACTTGCCGAGCTGGCAAGATGGCCGCCCGCCACGTTGACAAAACGTGGTCAATGTGACAATTGTTTTGCTGGACTGACCCGTAATCACGGAGTTCGCTGTGAGTCAGTCTCAGGTATTAATATTGAGGCTTATGTTTCTGCTATTTCTGAAATTATTGATGCCAAAACTATTTTAGCTGCATCTCGCATTAATGGCAGCGTTATTGTTTTTCTGACCTCAGTTGCTGACGTTGATAAAGTGTGTGCTAATGGACTAAATGTTGGTGATATGTTTATTCATGCCGAGGCATTGGTAAAACCAGCCACTAAATTAGTGTTATCTGGGGTTCCTCCTTTTATAACGAATGCTACTCTTGAAAAGCATTTAAACAAATCCGGTCGTATTGTTAGTACGTTCCGATACATTCCCATCGGAATTAAAAATCCTGATCTGAGACACATCAAGTCTTTTCGAAGACAGGTTCACATGATCTGCGAAAACGATAGTATTGAGGACATTATACTGATAAAACATGAAAATCGACTCTATAAAATTTATGTATCAACAGATGAAATTACGTGCTATAAATTCTTTAAAAAACGACACGTACAACGCGATTGTCACAAAATAAAACGAATGCTGTGGCTGAAAATAGTCTACAGTCTACAAACAACACTCCAAATGACGAAAACAATCAACCAACCGAGACCGAGACTAATGGATACAATGTCGACGAAAATACCCAATCTGCACCACAAAGAAAGGATGAAAATAAAACAGCTGAACATCACATAGACAGAATTGAATATGAAGACAGAACGGAAACAGTTGAACCAAGTCAAGATTACAGTCAAAGCCGTGCCGATGATATGGATATTGGTGAGGATGACATGCAAATCACGAGGCTTTTTGAAAATGACCTACATACTGACGACGCCGGTGACGACGTCGATAGTGATAAAACTAATATTGTACAAAAAGATTCATTTAATGATCAAAGAAAATCTAAACCTGTCAGTGAAACTTGTGTGGCTAATCTAAACATAACAGACAGGTGTATCTGGTTCTGACCCAGTGTCAACATCGTTAGATTTTTCAAATACCAGTGAGGAGGTGGTACTAACCCACCCCTCAACCATCCTGCATTTCTCCGATCCTGGCTTTTGTGTTCCGTCTTACTCCTCTATTGTATCGGGTTCTAAGCCCATTGATGTTTTTGACCGAAAGGTCAGTGACCTTGATGGTCGGTCTGATGACAGAGATGAGATGGAGTCTCTGTCGTCAGATGTCTCCAAACTCTTCGAAGTCAGTATTGATGATGCTGACTTAAAATTGTTGAATCAAGATACAGTTACATCCTTTATCCAAAAATCATACAATCATAAGCGCGTAATTGACTTCGCGACAGAGTTCTGTCCAGATCTGGGAATACTTATTAAATCAGCGAAAAAATTCGTATTCAGCGTATGAATTCAAAACTAACAAGTTATTACAAGAAAGTACTCAAGAACCCAGAAACTACCATCAGTACAAAAGAAAAAGCAAAAGAAATATTATTGAATACACAATGGGGTATACCCTCCAACACTGGAGGTAAACAAAAGATCTAACACTGGTTTCTTGTCCTCAACTCAATAGATTTAACAATGTGTTTAAATTTGATCTTTTTTTCTTTATGCTTAATCATGGCTGACATTTCTGCAGTCGTCCCGAACACATGTGTTGTGTTCCTTTTTTGTCACTTGGTTGGTGTCGGTGTTTGCATCGTTTTGCTAACACACAGTAAGAGTGTATTAAATATTGAATATGAAATTTCAATGGATCATATTTCCAAGCACGTTATTGGCGTGCCTATATTCAGCATGTTTTTAGGTGCTATTAGTGCCTACAATATTTTAGTTCCAATCAAAAATCCCAATGAAAAACATAAAATACTCAGCATGGCTACTGGTATTTTTGTCTACAACTTATTTTTCATAAGTGAGTGCCTTTTGAAAATAAAACATAAAACAACTATGGGGTCCATTCCCGAGCACGTCACGGATGCATATGCGCTGGCGCTGATGTTTATAAATACTTGCTATCATCCGTCAGTGAGTGCATTTTAAATACAAAGTATGAAACATTTTTGGGTTTCATTCCAGCGCATGTCACGAACGTGTTCGTACTTTGCTTGCTTACTGGTGCTGTTGTTGCCTGCATCTTTTTGCTATACTCCATCAGTGAGTGCGTTTTAAATACATGTATAAAGTATAAACGATTTATGGGTTTTATTCCCGTGCACGTCATGAGCGTGTTCGTACTCGGCTTGTTTACTGGTGCTGTTATTGCCTGCATCCTTTTGCTATACTCCATCAGTGAGTGCGTTTTAAATACAAAGTATGAAACATGTTTGGGTTTCATTCCAGTGCACGTCACAAGCGTGTTCGTACTCGGCATGTTTACTGGTGCTGTTATTGCCTGCAACTTGTTGCTATATTGCAGCAGTGACTGCGTTTTAAATATAAAACATAAAACATTTATGGGTTTTATTCCCGAGCACGTCACGGGTGGTGTTATACTCAGCATATGTACTGATGCTATTGCTTATAAATACTTACTATCCTCTGTCGGTGAGTGCGTCTCAAACATAAAGTACGAAACATCACTGGGTTTTATTCCTGAGTACGCTACAGGCGCACTCATTCTCTACATATGTGCTGATGTTATTGTCCATAACTATATTTTAATCTCCGTCAGTGAGGGCCCTTTAAATGGGAATATGTTAATACTCTGCCTGTTCGCTAGCTTCATGCGCATCTATAAGCTTGTATTCCCTTTCAGTAGGGGCGTCATAGATACATTATATGAAATATTATTGTGCTTCATCCAGAGGAACATTATATATGTGTTCATATGCAAGAATGTAATTGTCCACAGCTTGTTCCATAACACCATTTCACTACAAAATATAAAACATCAATTGTTATGGATATGTTATTTTTCAGTATGTTATTAAACATGAATTATCTATGGACGTGTTCATACTCGTTGACAGTTTCTTGTCCCTTTGTATTTAAACATGGCTGATATCTCGTCTGTCATATGGAACATTCGTGGTTGTCGAGACTCTCTCAGGAGGTACCAACTTTTTAATTTTCTTAAGACCAACTATAAAAGTGATTTTTTCTTCCTACAAGAAATCCACACAGTCGTCTCAGACGAACCAGCATGGAAGGTTGTTTGGCGAGCGCCAATTCATTTCTCCCACAGTAACACGCATGCGTCTGGTGTGGCAATTTTGTTTAACCGCCACAAGCAAGTCAACGTTATAACAGCCAGTGATGTCGTGCCCGGGCGATTACTTCACTTACATGTTGAGATTGATGGTACACGCTTTCATTTGATTAATGTGTATGCCCCCACCATTGGTACAGAGCGTGTAGCTTTTTTCGCCACGCTGAAACAACTGTCAAATAATATGGCTCCCAACCCCATACTCATGGGGGGGGGGGGTGACTTCAACTGTACTTTGAACTCCGATCTGGATAGAGCAAATATACCTGAACCACACACACTTTCGTCAACAATGCTGACCAACATCATTAAACGTTTCAAACTCACTGATGCATGGCAACACTTTAATCCTTCAGTTGAACAGTTTACATGATATCGCAATCAAAGTATGTCCCGCCTCAATACTTTTTACATATCAAAATCTATAGCCTCTAGAATTAAGCATACATCAATTAAACCACATTTTGATTTCTCCGACCACTCTCCTGTTACACTTAAGTTGTCTTTTACAAAAATAAACAATCACAATCCCGTCTGGTGCTTTAACTCTAGTTTGATATATTCTGAATATTCTGCTATTATCTCTGACTACTGGCTGACATGGCGCAAAGAAAAATCACGTTTTGATTCACTCCAACTGTGGTGGGATGTAGGGAAAATTAAAGAATTAACA